GCATTGTTCTGGAACCGTTTATCCAGCTGGGGAACCAGAAAATGTTAGATCTTTCAAAGATGATACAACTTATTCACACATTCTTTTCCTCCTCTTTCCCTGCTTTTCATTATTTTTAAATATATATTTTTAAAGTTGCCTGATTCCTTAACGTATTCATTGTGACTTTCTCTAAACAAAAATCTTTAGTGTTCATCCTAATCCAAGTATTTCAACTTCTTATTGACCAATTTTAACTCCACAAAAACTATGTTTTTGTTGCATAACATGTCTCTGTCAATTGTGTAAAATTAAGCGTATTGAGATCAGATACAATCGTACTTACACTCAAGTTCAAACTAGGCCTGAAAATTGGATTAATTGTAAAAATCGACTTTTTGAAATAATCGTCAACTAATATAGTAATGATTAATCGTTAACGGGAGTGTGTAGAGACTCTAAAATGTGCCTTTAGCTAACAGAGCAACCCACCTTAAGTAGCAATTATAACAAAAATGTAAAAAGATTAAGGTTGCAACTATCAATTATTTTGCAAATTAAATAATATGTCGCAATTTTTTTTTTTTTTTATTAATTAATTATATTAAAAGATTCCTTAAAGAAGACTTTTTACGAAATGAAACCAGGTGAAACTTAAACTTTTTCCACTTGAGGGGTTCTGGATAGAGCATATTGACAAATGAAAATGTTTTTTGTTTTTTTTTATCTACATGCAAAATTTTTATATATATATATATATTTTTTTTTTTACAATCTTGGTATAATTACTGCTCTGAGTGGGTCGCTTGAGTCTCTAAACTCCATTTAATTATTGATTAATAAATTAGGTCATGACTATTTAAATAATCGATGAATCAGGATTAATCAGATAGTTTCAGCCCTAAATAAATTATGTAAAAAGTTTGTATTTAAGATAAAAATCTTTTTTTCGTCAGTAAATGTATAGTTGTCAAAAAGTTTTAGTTTCAGCTGGTTTAATTTTTAAATAAGTTTTCAGAAACTTTTTGCTATCCTATTATTAATCTTAAAATAATTGTAAGTTGCAGCCCTAGTTCAAACCCACTGGCAGTCAGTTGGATAAAGCCAATCAGTAGAAGGTTATCTATCTAAGAACGAACAGTTGATATAATCAGGTCTTTCATTTTTGCAGCAACTCGTTCCCCTGACAAAGCATGCAGTGAAAGTGGAAAGCAACCACTCCATTTTAACAGGAAGAACCCTCACACAGAAACGGCTTTATTTGTAGGGTAATGTTAAATGAGGAAGTTATGTCCCCTTGAAGGCAGTTGCGCCTCTGGACTTCCCTTCCGGTTCTTTTCCTGGGAGCAAGTTATTTACTACTCTTAACTCAAACTGGGTAAAACTGTAACAAAGTAACAATGCACATGATGTATTAAGAATAAACCTAACAGTACTAAAGTAGCAACATTTACTGCTCAGGTTAAATTTTCCAGGAGCATTATCAGAGCAAGACCTCCCAGGTCAGGATTTTGCTATATGTGATAGATTGTGGCGCACCAACAATTCCCTTTTATGACTCCTCTTTCAGAGACATAGACAGGTATGGGGTATTGCAGGTATTGAACCCAAACGAGCCCAAAGGGGTGGACACGGTTTAATTTGCATGTTTTCTAAGCCAAAACAAGGCTTTATCTACGGTCCACTCTATAAAGCTTTGAACTCATCGTTATTTTTGGCATTTTCAATTGAAAAAGCTTCCTGGATGGGAAGCGAAACGTCTTCAAACTTGGAAACCAAGTCCAGTGGATTTATTTTTTACTTTTTTGAAAGTTAAACTTGATGTATTCAGTGTTATTCGGGCAATATATACAAATTCCTGAATTAGCTACGAAAGTAGAGTTAAAGTATGTTGCATTTCAATTTTGTTTCAGATGACCTCTCCCATTAGTCCACCACCATGCTGGAAATCCAAAAGGAGCAATGTTTTTTTCTGGTCCCCTTATGTTTGACTCATTCCTAGTTGTAAGCATTCAAGGGTTTGTCTAACAGCTCTGCTGTTACTGTACCTATTTACACAAAGGACATAAAACACAGCGTTAGGGGTGCGAGGATTCATCACTGAGGTGTCGAATGCAGCTAAGATTTTACTTTCCTCATTGCTCTGACAAAAAGCAATCTAAGCATGTTTACTAAAAATACACAGGAATGTGACTTCTCCTTTTTTTCTAAAATATTTGTTTCTTATCAAATATTTGTTGCATTATAGTTTCAACTGATTTAGATTGTGACGATTGGCTACATTTTAGAGAATCTGCTGAATGTTTACGCTGATATCAGGGTCTGTACAGCTTTGACCTGATAATAAACATTTTTGCCAGTTGAATCTAAAAGCTAATATGTAATTATATAAAATTATTTAGAGAAAGGTTCCTGGGAGAAAAACCATTAGCTGCAAAACAGGGATATCTAAACAACGTCTTTTGAAAATGATTAACAGAAGCTATACTTGAGGTAATGACATCAGGTATGGTTAGCATTAGCACAGTTAATATGGCTAAAAAAAATATTAATTTTTCTGGAACTTTCTTTTCTCTTTTCTGTAGCAGCCAACCAGCCCACCAACTTTAAGTGGTTTTACTCGATGCAGTCAACCAGTTTTCCTTATATAAAAACTTTTAAGCAATCTGACTCTATGGTTCAAATTAATTCTCTGTTGTGTTAAAAGATGATATGTATTGTAAATAAACCAAATTAAAATTAACTTTGCCAAATGTGCCCTTTTTTAAACATCCTCCAATGCAAATGGATGTTGGATGCTCAAAAAGACAAAAAATACACCAGCGACTTTGCTCTTCTATGTTTAGCCTTCCTGTTATCTGATGAAAGTCTTGCTCTCTCTCACTCTGTTGCACCCTGAATTAACCTGGAGCCGTCATCATTAGACTTCATTTTTAATGATCTTTCCGATACTGGATTTTGCTAACTTTTGGTCATCCTCACAAAGTGCCATTATCCATAATGAGAAATGATATCAGTTCCTGGTAGCACTCAGTATGTCTATGTTCCCATATCAAAATAGAGATAATTCTTTTTTTAAAACCAGCTGAAATCAGTGACAGTATCTGAAATAAATCAGGAAGACGTAAGAGTTTAATTAGAGGTAAATGCCAAGCTCACATCAGCTGATTTATTATGATGCTTTTATAATGTTCCTTTTCATATGAGCTATTTACTGCCCCCTCTGACTCATTAACAAAGCAAACTGAAACCATTAAATCTGACCACCAACCCCCTTTTTCAGACAGTGTAAAAATCTCTCCAAATGTGTCTGACTCTATCCAATCTGTAGATATTTTTGCAAGCTTAATGCAGGGGGAAAATCCATTAAGGTGTATGATTCACAGCTTTGCTGTGTGACTCAGAACAGGGGCCTAGAGAATCATCCTGGCTGCAGCAGATCATGGCCTGGGTCTGCACCAGGTGTCAAAAAGTCCAGCTGCACAAGATCAGGCCTCAGTCCGACTCAGCACTTTAAGTGGACTGCCGTCCGTTAAATCCAGCCCTGTGGACATGAGGCTTATTGGTAAGTTGAGGGGGAGAGTTTTCAAAGATTGATTATGGAGTAACATTTAAGAGCTTGAGAGTTACTAGCGATGGTCATATGTAGAAACAAGGAGATACTGAAGGAAGCCACTAAAACAGAGACACAACACTAGCAAGCACTGTCTTTAAATAAGGCGTTCTGATACATCAAAGCTTTAATTAGCACCTCCGCTAATAAGCACCCAATTATTAAGAGACAATTACATATGTGCAAATTAGAGGCCAGGTTATGGTGTTTTCCTGGTTTAATAAAGAGATGAGAGCCTGGCTACTTGGACCAGAAGAAGAAGGAGTTTAATGCCACTCATTTGGAGATTTATTGTAGAGCTATATTATTTCCGTAGCCCAGAAAAAAAGGAAATGGACATAACAGTTGAGATTTTACACATCAGTGTCCAAGGCAGCATTTTCATATTAATATATGGAGGAAGACCAGTTTGGCTGAATACTTTTGTGTATAAGAACACATATTGGAGTAATAAAGAGATTACGGAGTCATAAAGGAGCAATGAGACACAAAAGGATGAACGTGTACAGAGGCTGAGCTTCAGCAGACAAACTAGGGGATCTGAAAAGCCTGGCAGACATGGTGACATCATCTCTTTCTATACCTTGCCATCCCTGAACACGCCCACCCCCTACCTATGATGGAGTGGTCGGTGGTCCAGTCAGCGTGCACGCTCCCGGCTGGCTGTGGTGTACAATGAGGTGAAATAAAAAAAGGAAATATGCAGATGTAGCTCAATCAAACAGGTAGCTAGGGGAAAATGACAAGCATCATTTCCTCCCATCTCAGCCTCCTGTCTCCTAGCAACAAGGGCTCCAGCTGTGACTGTCATAAAGGAATAAATAACCTACCTGACAGCCCATTGTGTAAAGAAGGTACATAAATTGGGGAGGGTGAGAGAGCCAGATGCAATGGTGGTGCCTTTTGTGAACAGGGTGAAACCAAGGCTCACAGGTAGGAGCCATGGGGAGGAGGATACAGGCTTCTGGTGGGTGTTTTTATTTATTGGAGCTGGTTAGCAGGAGCCGCTGTCTGTAGTCAATCACTGTCATTCCCGGCACGTCCTCATCGCCTCACATCACCGGCCGTCTTAGAAACAGCACGCGGACGGCTTCGCTCACGTGCACAAAGGTCATTTAGGCCAGTGCGCGCGCTGGAATAGAAAGTCCTGTCCAGCGCATGCACGCGCCCACGTCGACCGCAAATTTAGACGTGCCCGAGACATTTGTGGAAATAAAATGACCAAGTTAACACCGTTCTGGGTGGCTGTACGTGCACGCGCAACGGCACGCGCTAAAGGTGATCCATCGCTGCGACGCCTATATGGGAATGCTGTGAAATCCTATAAAATGCTTCAGGATAGAAGCCTGGCTTATTGTTACATTAGGTCACATTAGCGATGGAAATGTAATAAGACATGCAGCCTTACCAGAGTGGAGACCGAACGCCAAACTCAGGAGCAGCAGCCTCTGCATGGTTCAACCGACCAATAAGTCCGTTAGTGGCTCAGACCTCCGTGAGGACGGCATCAAAAAGCGAGAGTTTGCTGACTTCTAACAATGACTTAGAAAAAAAAACAACTAAAAATTCAAGCGGACCTCCTCCACATCTGACCCTCTGATTCGGTTCGGACTCGCTGGCGGTCACACCATTTCTAGGTCCCAGTTTCTTCCCTTGTATCTTTTCACCTCTGCTCTTCAGCGACAGTCCGTTTTCTACTAGAGTCTGCTTACAGCAATGACCGCTTCTACTTCCTTTCCTGGATTTCAAAATAAAATCAACTGAGTCTGGTTCTGCTGGAGGTTTCTTCCTGTTAAGAGGGAGTTTTTCCTCTCCACTGTCGCTACAAGCATGCTTAGTTTGAGGGATTGCTGAAGAGTCAATAGTTGCAATCAACTGGTTTTCCTTAGATAGAAAACTTTGAATCAATTTGACTGGTTGAACTGTAAAGTGCCTTGAGATGACATGTGTTGTGAATTGGTGCTATATTAATAAACTGAATTGAATTGAATTCACTTCAGTTTATTTTAAAGTAGTGCTAGATAATAATAATAACAATAATAATAATCAATGGCGTGACGACACAAAAATATTCAAAAAAGCAACATTATCTGGGTTGGCCCCATATGAAGTACAAAACTCTGGATTACCCCTATAAGTCGTAGTGTAAAAAATAAAATACTCAAATACATCGTTCTTTCAAGATCTTTATTGTGGTTTGAAACATATGTGCGTATTTTATGATATGAGCGTATTTTTTTTTTACCAACCATCTAATGAACTATACACAGTTATTAACATAGTAATTAAAAGTAGCTACTACTGTCTGCTTTGCTATTGGTCACCATCATGTCTGACATGTGTTGGGGTATAAATAAGGTCCAGTCAATCGTGTTAAAATCAGGTGGGTTTTAAGAGGGAATTTTCGCACCATTACGTCTGCAATCAGACGTCCTAGTCCACAATTGTGAAGCGAGCCTATCAGGTGTCAGTGACGGGGCCCCTAAGAGGTCGGGGGGCCCTAAGCAAATACAGCCTCTGCTCACTGATATTTACGCCATTGATAATAATAGTAGTAGTAATAATAATAAAAAGAAAATCTAGAGTATAAATTCGCTACATTTAAAGGAGGCACACAGAAAACAGAAAAAAAATTGTGATAACATAAAACACAACACAATAAAAAAAATGTAATAATGTTGGATTCACTAATGACCTAGATGAGAATAGGTGAATCTGCAAATATGACAACTGTCCAAAAGTCCATTTAAAAAAAAAACATTAAAAAAATAGGATCTAAATTAGGATTCTAAAGTCCTTACACTGGCTCCCCCTATCACAGTTTCTGCATTTTTCATTTATTTTATTTTACTTGCTTTGATTCTGTTTTATTTTCCTATATTTTAATCATGTAAAGCACTTCGCATTGTCTTTGTACTGAACTGTGCTATACAAATAAATTTGCCTTGCCTTGCTTAGAGAGAAAATAAGGTTCCCCTAACGTAATCGCGCTCTACTTCCGGTGTCGTATTCGTTATTTCTGACTTGACGTCATATTCTCATTAGCAGCACATTCCTTTCCTTCTCATACATAGAACTGCCTTAGTTTTTCCCCCTTTTTTAAAAACTATGCGTAGCACGCTAAGAAGTTTTAGGAATAATTAAAAGACACAAAGACACGAATTATAAACTATGTTTATTTAGATATGTCACGACTCATTTAGTGCAATTCGATGCCTAACCTGGCATCATGGATGGAGAATAACAGCATTAGAATATGTATAAATTATATACTGCCCGTTAAATTAACTGGATATTACTTTATAAGACAGGAAGAGGAACATGGTGTATTCCAGCTGATATGGACTTTATTAAGGTGACGTCAGGATAATAAAATGGCTCCAGGCATATAATGGATAGATGGGTTTTGTCTTTATTCAAGGTATGTTAATGTAGGCTGTCCTGATGGCTGGAACTGTCTCACATACTGTCACATCTCAGCGGGTCGCCTCAATTTAACTCCCTCCCAGATACCGATGCTGGAGCGCCCCCTAGCGTCACTGCACCCTACATAGCAATTTCAAATGTCCTGTCTACAGGATGAAGACATCCATGGTGTCTGCATATTCCTACGCACACGGAGAGCAAGGTATCATAGGTGAGTTCTGACAAGTGAGGGGAATTTAGTAAACCTGATCTAAACTTGAAATAAACCCTAAGTCTAATGAAAATACTATTTTTTTAGCCACGGATAAAACTTTCAGAGATATGTTAAAAATTAAGTTTAAAGTAAAAGAAAAAACAATGGCATGTCCCATGGCTACAAAAACTGTTATTTATTTCAGCAGAAGCTATTTTAATTATTTTACTAACAAAAAATAACAAAATTNTGCTGGAGGTTTCTTCCTGTTAAAAGGGAGTTTTTCCTCTCCACTGTCGCTACAAGCATGCTTAGTTTGAGGGATTGCATTTGAGTCAATGAGTCAATGCAATCAACTGGTGTTCCTTAGATAGAAAACTTTGAATCAATTTGACTGGTTGAACTGTAAACTGGTTGTACTGGTTGAACTTTATAAATAAACTGAATTGAATTGAATTGAAAGCAGTTTATTTTAAAGTAACGCTAGATAATAATAATGATAATAATCAATGGGATAACAACACAACAATAGGCCCGTAAGCAACTTTATCTGAGTGGGCCCCATATAAAGTACAAAACTCTGGATTACCCCTAAAAGTCGTAGTGTAAAAAATAAAATACATCGTTCTTTTAAGATCTTTATTGCAGTTTGAAACATATGATATGAGCATTTTTTTTTTTTTACCAACCATCTAATGAACTATACACAGTTATTAACATAGTAATTAAAAATACCACTGTCTGCTTTGCTATTGGTCACCATCATGTTGAAATCTGACCTGTGTTGGGGTAGTCAGATGTGTTAAAATCAGGTAGGTTTTAGGAGGAATTCTTCGCACCATTACGTCTGCAATCAGACGTCCTAGTCCACAATTGCGAAGGGAGCCTATCAGGTGTCAGGGACGGGGCCCCTAAGAGGTCGGGGGGCCCTAAGCAAATACAGCCTCTGCTTACCGATATTTGCGCCATTGATAATAATAGTAGTAGTAATAATAGTAAAAAGAAAATCTAGAGTATAAATTGGCTACATTTAAAGGAGGCACACAGCGGATATGACAACTGTCCAAAAGTCCATTAAAAAAAAAAACATTAAAAAATAGAGTCTAAAGTCCATTCTAAAGTCCTTACACTGTCTCCCCCTATCACAGTTTCTGCATTTTTCATCTATATTATTTAATTTTTTTTCCTACTTGCTTTGATTCTGTTTTATTTTCCTATATTTTAATCATGTAAAGCACTTCGCATTGTCTTTGTACTGAACTGTGCTATACAAATAAATTTGCCTTGCCTTGCTTGGAGAGAAAATAAGGTTCCCCTAACGTAATCGCGCTCTACTTCCGGTGTCGTATTCGTTATTTCTGACTTGACGTCATATTCTCATTAGCAGCACATTCCTTTCCTTCTCATACATAGAACTGCCTTAGTTTTTCCCCCTTTTTTAAAAACTATGCGTAGCACGCTAAGAAGTTTTAGGAATAATTAAAAGACACAAAGACACGAATTATAAACTATGTTTATTTAGATATGTCACGACTCATTTAGTGCAATTCGATGCCTAACCTGGCATCATGGATGGAGAATAACAGCATTAGAATATGTATAAATTATATACTGCCCGTTAAATTAACTGGATATTACTTTATAAGACAGGAAGAGGAACATGGTGTATTCCAGCTGATATGGACTTTATTAAGGTGACGTCAGGATAATAAAATGGCTCCAGGCATATAATGGATAGATGGGTTTTGTCTTTATTCAAGGTATGTTAATGTAGGCTGTCCTGATGGCTGGAACTGTCTCACATACTGTCACATCTCAGCGGGTCGCCTCAATTTAACTCCCTCCCAGATACCGATGCTGGAGCGCCCCCTAGCGTCACTGCACCCTACATAGCAATTTCAAATGTCCTGTCTACAGGATGAAGACATCCATGGTGTCTGCATATTCCTACGCACACGGAGAGCAAGGTATCATAGGTGAGTTCTGACAAGTGAGGGGAATTTAGTAAACCTGATCTAAACTTGAAATAAACCCTAAGTCTAATGAAAATACTATTTTTTTAGCCACGGATAAAACTTTCAAAGATATGTTAAAAATTAAGTTTAAAGTAAAAGAAAAAACAATGGCATGTCCCATGGCTACAGAAACTGTTATTTATTTCAGCAGAAGCTATTTTAATTATTTTACTAACAAAAAATAACAAAATTCCAGCACTCTGTCTCTGGTGAGATAGACAATTTGTTATATATTGTGCTCTATGTCATTATAAAAGGTTGTGTACTGTATGGTGCATTCTTTTTTTTCTTTTTTGTATTTTTATCATAATTTGAAAAAAATGTATGGAGAGCTAGACTACAACGCTGTAATGCAGAAAAAAGGAAGATGGGTTGTATGTTCGAATACGACCAAAACCATCATTTCAAGGACCATCTTTTTAGAGAAAGGAAAACAGACAAAAAAAGTCGCAGATCTGCCATGTTGGCATACAGAGTGACCCATCTCTGCCGGGACTCGAACCCGGAGCCTCTGGATTAGAAGTCCAGCGCGCTATTCCATTGCGCCACAGAGACTGCGCCAAAGAAAAATGGAGGCAACATAATTTAGCATCCTCACTGAGCCCTGTATCTGCGCAGCATCAGGACCATTCTCAGTTGCCATGTTGGTACTACTCATATCGGCCACTAGAGGGAGCCATCGTGGAAGGTGTTAGAGAGGAGGCTGGCTAACGTTGAAAAGGAAGTTGTTTAAGCAGATGTAGGGCATTTCAATTTGGAAGGTCTTTAAATATGATTTACCTTTATTAAGCGAGCTTGTTGTTTGTTGCTTATGAACAACTGGATACATGTAAAATATGTATCCAGTTGTTCAGACAACTGGATACATATTTTACATGTATAGACATCAGGATACAATGTGTTAAGACCTGTTCCAGTCACTTTGGATACTTTAAACAAATATATTAACAAATTAACCACTTTTATCACAAGTTGTAGTAAACAAAACTACTAATACTGTTTTATAATACAAGCTTTTAAACTAATTGGATTTTTGTTGTTTACTTGCCAGTTTTTCACTT